CTGTAAAATGCATACATAAACGCGTTTTTTAGTCTATAGGACATCTGTGTAAACTAGAAAAACTGGCTATCAAATTTAGATCAAAAATATAATGCGAGCAATCGGTAAACATTAAATCCAATTAGGCGTGCTGTATTTCGTCACCACTAGAAGTTATGGTATAGCATCACAGCATGTCCAAACCTAGTAGTTCTCGGACAGCCGACGGGAGGAGACGGGTTTTGTTCTAAAGCTAGAAATCTGAATAATTCCAACGCCAACTATAAAAGAAACTCGTTAAGTCAGCCAAGAGTGTAGGATTTCTCATGTATCTCCGATCACACACCTTCATACAAACGTTACGCGCTTCACCGAATGCTCTCCAGACTTTCAGACAAGCGGTTCACAATCTTGGAGAACTTCCCAATATCCGACACTCCGACCAGCGGCATCGTCTTAAAATCAGCGGCACAGTCCTAAAATCAGCGGAACAGTACTAAAATCAACGGCATATATATATTCACATAGAGAGAGAGCTAGATAGAGAGCAATTGGAAGACCGCCAGTGACAGAGAGAGGGAGTCAGAGAGAGAGAGAGACAGAGGGAGAGAGCAGAGAGAGAGAGAGAGAACAGCATCTAAGAACATTCCTTAAAACGACAGTCTGCGGTGCTCTTGCAGCAGGGCGATCCATTCTCCGATCTCTGCTTTGAAGTCTACATTTTGCACTTGCTCCAGTTTCATCATTCCCTGGATGTTTTCTTACTCCAACCCCAGAAGATCCACTGAGAGGTGTCTTTGATTAAAAGAGTTATTCCATGGATGTATAGCATTTTAATCCACTATTAGCAACACCGATGTTCACCTCGACTTCAATGTCATTGAAGTTAAAGAGATCAGTCTATGTCAATGACATCGCGATAACACCAAGGAACCCCCGAGATATCTCCATATAACAAATAGCGTTCCTAGGGTTGTGCGTCTTACAACCCCAAACACATATATAGGTAAGTCTTGACATGATCAGATTCTATTCACCTTGAAGAGAGTTTTTTTTTCCCCACTTCTTATTCGACACGGTTGGTCGCAAAGCAGTGAAGCAACAGTGCGGGTGGGGTGGAGTAGCTAACGTTGTGTGCTTGGGCGACAAGAAGAATGCAGATGACACGGCTGCCAGCCATTCGCAATAATGAGCTCTGGGGATATGTTACTGTACTCCCTCCACCAAGCTTTCCTCAACGGAAGTGAAAACAAAAGTTAAGCTCTGCTTTTTGCCTCCTTGGAGTAACTCCTTGGGGACCTTCGGAACATTAGCGCGAGAACCACCAGATCAAATCCTCTGCTGTTCTATTCTCAGTGGATTCGCGTTACACGTACACCACACGTCCTTCGTCACGACATCAGCAGGTTAGTTCTGTTATTGACTAGTTTCATTCTATGATTTTCTTTCTTTCTAAATAAACTCTCCATTGAATCTTTCTGTTTATATTAGTTTCATGTATCAAGGTGCCAAACACGTCAACAGACCTGTTTACCTGTAACTGAATCCGACTTCTCATATTTGTCCTCCCCCCCCCCACGCCCCTTCCAAACATTAAGGTAGGATGCACTCTTTATTCTTTCTTTCTAAATAATCTCTCTATTGAATCTTTCTGTTTATATTATTTTCATTTATCAAGGTGCCAAACACGTCAACAGACCTGTTTACCTGTAACTGAATCCGACTTCTCATATTTGTCCTCCCCCCCCCCACGCCCCTTCCAAACATTAAGGTAGGATGCACTCTTTAATAATCCACGCCGCCCCCCCTCGTACTTTCACTATTGTTCGGCGTATTTCTACTGTAAGACCAACGGCGTAGCTCTAGGGTTAGTTCCGTCCTGGGCGAGACAGGCTTCTTGCTGTCCCTTCCACGAAAAAAAAACAAAAAAAAAACAACAAAAATATAAAAAACAACTCCAAATTTTGCCGAAAAATGCCTACCCCTCAATTTGTATTTTTTTTTTTTTTTAAATGGCACTCTTCCTACGTCAGTGTGTAAGACTGAACTAACATTCAGAGTATACGGCACCCTTCCTACTTCTGTCATTTTGTTGTCCAGTTCCAGTCATTTTGTTGTCCTGTTCCAGTCATTTTGTTGTCCTGTTCCAGTCATTTTGTTGTCTTGTTCCAGTCATTTTGTTGTCCTGTTCCAGTCATTTTGTTGTCCTGTTCCAGACATTATGTTGTCCTGTTCCAGTCATTTTGTTGTCTTGTTCCAGTCATTTTGTTATCTTGTTCTAGTCATTTTGCTGTCTTGGTCCTGTCATTTTATTGTCTTATTCCAGTGTCTCACTAGCACCGCCATGTGGTGGCATGTGTGTCTCACTAGCACCGCCATGTGGTGGCATGTGTGTCTCACTAGCACCGCCATGTGGTGGCATGTGTGTCTCACTAGCACCGCCATGTGGTGGCATGTGTGTCTCACTAGCAGCACCGGCTTGTAGCATGTGTGTCTAACTAGTATCGCCGGCTGGTGTCATCTGTACTCCCCACTTTCGCCGGCTGGACTCATATGTGTCTCACTGGTAGCGCCGGCTGGTGTCTTGTGTGTGTCTCAACTATTTGACTTGGTAAAGCGCAGTTTCAACTTATGGCGTTAATTTGATGGTCGAGTCCCCGGGACCTGGTGTGTGTCAACATTCTGCCTTTGACGGACGGCCGGCTTGATAAATTCAGCTCACGGACCGGACGGCGGCGAGCCAGGCGCGGTAATGACAAGGGTCAGCTGTTGTATGTACTTGTCGGCGTCTTGGTCCGACGCGTCTCAATATTTGGCGTGCGTGCCCCGCCACATTGACGGTCTCAAATCGTGGGCGGTGTGATTAACAAGTGGAGACAACTGTAACTCGTGGTCATGGTCCGGGTAATCTCACTAAACTCTTCCCCAAAATATGGATTCGGTTTGGAGGGTGGGGGGGGGGGGCTAGAGGGGCTGGTGGCAGATTTCTGACGAACGATGGGGTAAGGGAAAAACATACCGATTACGTCACGGGTGATAAGCTGTGATTAACAAGTGGAGACAACTGTAACTCGTGGTCATGGTCCGGGTAATCTCACTAAACTCTTCCCCAAAATATGGATTCGGTTTGGAGGGTGGGGGGGGGGGCTAGAGGGGCTAGTGGCAGATTTCTGACGAACGATTGAGTAAGTGAAAAACATACCGATTACGTCACGGGTGATAAGCCGGATTACGTTATTGGGACAAAATAGCTAGGCACCGCATCATTGGTCAAGTCTGACCCTAAACAACAAATGCTGGGAACCGGTGATTAGATAAATATGATTTATCTCTAGACCAAGTCTTCGCATTTTTAAAACTTATTTATTAATGTCTAAAGAAGTGCTTCCCAACTTTTTTGGTGCCATGCCCCACCTAAGCCTTTCTGAAATTCTTATACCCCCATGTGTCATAATCATTACTTTTAATATTAAAACAAAAAAGTTTTGTTCACTGAAGAAACTTAAATGATAGGTTTTAGGAAGAAATATCTAGGAAATCGGTGATGATACATAGTAAGTATATTTTCAAAACATTAAATTTGGAACTGAAATTCAAGAACGAAATAATTTGAATGAAATATTTTCTACATTATTTTTATTATTATTATTTTTTAATTTAGTGAGATGTTTGTGCTTGATGCTTGCTGCAAAGAGATTTTATGTTAGGCTCCAATTTAGTTAGCTTCAGTCTCAAGTCTCAAGTCTCCGATTAGTGTTATGTCCAGCCGATTTTTTAAATATATCTTTTGGAACAAATCCCTTATGGCATTAAATCCACATTCAGTTACATATGAAGATGGAAACGGTAGCAATAAGTTTCTGGCACATTTGGTTGAATTTTTTATGGTTGATTTCTGTTTCCTCAAAAAGCCAAGCCATCGCCCCTGTTACATTAAATCCAGTTTGAACAGACGCACCATTTGGCATTTCTGCGAGTTCTTCCTAAAAATGGATATTTGGAAATATCAGAGAATTCGACTAATATTGGCTGTATCCAGAGGCGTAGCGTGGTGGGGGCAGGGGGGGACAGATGTCCCCGGGCGCCAGCTAGTTAGGGGCGCCAAAATGTGCTTTGATATTATTTTATTGACGAAAATAATGGGTTTGAGAGTTGAAAAAAAGAAAAAGGGGCGCTAAAAATGGATCTTGTCCCCTGGCGCGAATCTTGTCCCCGGGCACCAAACAACCTCGCTACGCCACTGGCTGTATCGTCCACGTTGGGAAATCAACTTGTTTCAAATAAGAAAAATCCAACTTTTAAATTAGCTAATATAAATTTCAGATGTTCGACAATAACAAGTATAGTTTAGCGGTATCAGTCACTTCACATTTTCGGAGCCAATGAAGCTTTTCAAAATTTTTGTTACCACCATCTTTCTGACATATTTCAATAAAGGTGTTAAAACAAAATATATTCGATTTTGCATCGACACGAGCTTTATATCCTACTCGAAGTTCGTTATTTCATACATTTGGTATTTCAAAGATATCAGCTAAATAAATCACAAATGCTTTGCCATCGACCGTGAACAGATTCTTCATATCAGGTTTGCTACTTTAAAAAAAAATCGCACCAGTACAAAAAAATTCCATAAATCTTTTCAAGCAATTCCGTTTTTTTAAAGCCATCTTTTGTCAGTGTGAGGTAAAAGTCCCACATTGTCTGCATTTTGTTCTTCACAAAATAGCTTGAAGAGAAGTTCACATATGGCATTAGCTTTCATAGCATTGATACTCTTTATAAATGAATTTAATACTTCATTATGAACAGGCGATATGTTTTTAGCTCCTAAGTTTACCCTATGAATAGCAGAATGCACGAGGGCATTTCTGGATTATCTTCTTTCATCAATTTTAAGTAGCCAGTTTTCTTGCCCATCATATTGGGAGCACCAACTGCCGCACAAAATATTTTTTTTTGTTTCATTGGTATATTAGTGACTTCTAAGTAATTTTCTTTTAGCTTATTATAATTTTTAATATATCTTTGGCGGCAGTGGTGCTTTCTAATAATTTACAGAACAAATTTTTGTGAGCAAAATACCCTTTATCAATATATCTTACGTAAGTTATCAATACGGCCGCGCTGTCTCTCAAAGTTGATTAATCCATTACACTGACACTTTTCTTGTTTTAAACTTGTCAACAAGTTGTATTTGAATATCTTCACTCATTTCGTCTATTCTCCTGCTAACAGTATTTTTATTGAGGGGCACAGCTTTCACACCTTTGTCATCTTCCAAAACCATTTTAAGAAATGCTGACATTGATGGTTTGACTAAATTCTTTTCGATAGTTTCTTCTATTTTCACCAGAATTAGCGATGAGTAAGGACATTTCACAACTAGCCACGAGAGTTCGATTCACAGCTGCAGTATGAGCAGTAAATAGAGACGTTAATGTTGCTCGTTTTTTGCAATTACAAGTTAAATCATAGTAGACGGTTGGCTTTCAAATTCTAGACAGCTCATTTTCCCATCGCCCCCCATTGCCCCCCATTGCCCCCCATTGCCGCCCGGTGGAGCATGGGAAAACGTTGGGTAACTTGCCGCCCGGTGGAGCATGGGAAAACGTTGTGTAACTTGCCGCCCGGTGGAGCATGGGGAAAATTTGGGAAACACCGAGTTAAAGTGATTGGGANGGAGTCAGCGGCCCGCCCCGGGCGCTACTAACCATAGCTAAGCCACTGGGTCGGATGTATATAAAAACGCCTTTGTGAATTATATTGTTAACAGGGGGGGGGGGGAAACTGGCGAACGGGCGTAACAAAACGGAAAACTTAGTAAAAGGGGGGGTAGTTGTGGTGATGTAATAGTAAATGTGATATATAGTAAAGGGGATGTAATGGCAACCTTGATGTAATAGTAAATGTGAAGTAATAGTAAAGGTGATGTAATATTTAAGTTGATATAATAGTACAGGTAATTTAATAGTAAAGGTGATATAATAGTTAAGTCATGTAATAGTTAAGGTGATTATATAGTAAAGGGGATGTAATGGTAATCTTGATGTAATAGTAAATGTGAAGTAATAGTAAAGGTGATGTAATATTTAAGTTGATATAACAGTACAGGTAATTTAATAGTAAAGGTGATATAATAGTTAAGTCATGTAATAGCTAAGGTGATATATAGTAAAGGGGATGTAATGGTAATCTTGATGTAATAGTAAATGTGAAGTAATAGTAAAGGTGATATAATATTTAAGTTAATATAATAGTACAGGTAATTTAATAGTAAAGGTGATATAATAGTTAAGTCATGTAATAGTTAAGGTGATATATAGTAAAGATGATATAAAAGTATGGTGTAACAGACAAGTGGGGGAAATAAGAGTAATTAAATTGGACAGTAGGCCGGGGGGAAAGAGTATGTGGCAGATAGATCACAGACAAAATGGAGCGGTTAGGAATATATTAAAAAAACAAACATATATCATCAGTCTTGTTTTTGTTGGAAATATTTAAAAAAAAAACATTTCCATTGTTCCGTGAATTTTATGTCAACATTTTTATATCTCTGGGAAATAACTTTGTGTGTTGTCTTCTTGTGGGCGTCTGAGTCCCGTGGTGCACATGTGACAGGTGCACAGGTGACAGGTGCACAAGGTCGATGATCGGTCTGTGGAGACATAAATAGGAATCAATCGCGGCACATCTTTTCACCCAGTTGAAGTAAATATGTGAAATATGAATGTGAAATATGAATGTGAAATATGAATGTGAAATATGAATGTGAAATATGGATGTGAAATATGAATGTGAAATATGAATGTGAAATATGGACGTGAAATATGAATGTGAAATATGAATGTGAAATATGGACGTGAAATATGAATGTGAAATATGGACGTGAAATATGAATGCGAAATATTAATGTGAAATATGAATATGTAATACGAATGTGAAATATGAATGTGGAATATTAATGTGAAATATGAATGTGAAATATGAGCGTGAAATATGGATGTGAAATATGAATATGAAATATGGACGTGAAATATGAGTGTGAAATATGAATGTGAAATATGAATGTGAAATATGAATGTGAAATATGAATGTGAAATATTAATAAATGCATAAAAGTAATAAATATGAAATATGAATAAAACATACAGATAAATAAAGGCTATAAAAACCCAATGTAAAGAAAAAAAATGTACTTTATAAAATGAAAATAAAACTAGAACATAATAATATAGCAGAAGAATTAGGTCAATTTCCACAATAGATATAAATGTTGGGTAGGGGGTGGTGGGGGTGGTGATCATAACCCGATATGTGCGACTACTTTGTGCATTTCTCAGCGATACTCGACGGGCGGATTACATATTTTTTTATTGAAACAATCACCGCTTGGATCGGCCATTGGGTTGTAAGGTGCAATGACGTCATGGGTTGTAAGACCTTGAATGAAGGACCGTGCCGGTAAATTTTACGCCATTCAGATCTGATCAGGACACTGGTAGCCTACCGGTAATTCTTCAAACAAGAACAAAGTATGGAGTATCGCACGGCTCAGCTGTTAAAGTAATCGGTATCGTGTTTGTAATTTACTCGGTAGCGATTCTCCAAATTTTAAAGGCTATTTAAATTAAAATTTAACAAAAAATATCCCGCAATGAATGAATACACGACATGCGATTTAAAAAAAATTGTATTTAATATATCTTGCGGTATAGACGTGATTATAAATTATCTACTAGAAGGCAATCGCTATGCGGACATGGTTCATAATCTAAGCCTGTATTTGTTCAGAAGTCATCCCTGCACTATTTATCAACGTGCTTTCGAAGGATGCCACCATCTTCTCATGTAAGGGACTTGGCCAGGAAAAGAAATACATGATTGTCCTTAAAGAAACCCATGATTTATCTTAACAGAAATCACTGATTTGTCTTCAAAGAAATCCACGATTGTCTTAAAGGAAATCCATGGTTATCTTAAAATCCATGAACTGTCTTAAAAGAAATCCTTGATTGTCAGACATGTTTATTTGATCCCTTAAATCTAATCAACGCTTGGAGAGAACATGTTGTTGTTGTTGTTGTTGTTGTTGTTTGTTTTTGTTTTTGTTTTGTTTTTTTTTGGGGGGGGGGGGTTTGTGGTGTGTTTTTTTTTTTTTTTTTTTTTTTTTTTTTGGTGGTTGTTTTTTTTTTTTTTTTTTTTTTTTTTTTTTTTTTTTTTTTGTGGGAAGAGAAGACTTTAAACTGACAATGATTGCTGAACTATAGATAAATGGTGCCAAAGGATGATTACAGGGTCTGTAGGCGCCAGGAGCTTCAAGGCCCACTTCAGAATCATGTCTGACACTGCAAGTCGCAAGGGTTCTGGCAAAGTCGTCAATGGGCGCCTTAAGATTATTTTCCCTTGAAATCTTTCAGAGAGTAGTCTTAAAAGTAAGAGCTGTTTTAGTTGGTGTTGAATTTTTTTTATGAGCGATTCTTGGGCACATGGCGAACACGCGGTATTATTGCCGCACAATTCTTGTTCGAACAGTGGCTTATTTTGAAGGTGCCATCCTTTTATAGCATCATTCTTGGCACAGCCATTCCCATCTGTCTAAAAGACGAGATCTTTAAGGCGCAAAGCCGTAACCATCATGCTAATGCGTCTTTTAGGGGCATAGCCTTTGCAGTCCATGTAATGAGTCTTTTATTGGCATAGCCCTAGCAGTACATATAATGAGTCTTTTAGGAGGAATGCATTTTTAAATCCCTCTATCGAGTCTTTTAGGAGGCATAACTTTTTCAATCCATCTATCTCGTTTTTTTAGGAGGCATAACTTTTTCAATCCCTCTATCGAGTCTTTTAGAAGCATAGCCTTTCCCAACTTTCTATTGATTTGTTTATGGGCATATCCTTTGGAAGCAACCATTACGTCTGTCCAGCTGTTCAGTATCGAAGAATCCTTTTAAAAAAAAATGGAATATAATTTGGTTCAAGCAGGTTATTTTAATATACATTTCTATAGACCGGGGTATTTATCTTTAAAAAAAAAAATCTAAATTAACTTTCACCACTGAGGCCTCTCCCGGGATATTAACTCTTTTAGAACCGCTTATCTCCTCTGCATCATCAAAGCCCTACGCCGGCACTCACGTCTTGTAATTAACACATACCGGCAAATCCGTTAAATTAAGCGGATAATCTTAACTTCTCAGCGGACAATCTCCCGACGTGATCTTTCTCCAAAAAAGGGTCCACGTCTCCCGTACCCGACAATAAATTACACTTTTAAACACTCAAGTCGTAGTAAATCCGTCCGTCTGGTACGCTCCTGATTGGAAGCTGAACACCTTACTTATCAGTCGGCGGACGTGTTAATATCGATTTTAGGAAGCAATGTTTGATTAGAAACCTCCCCCCAACCCCCACCCAAAGGGTTGTGAGGTTCTCCTTTTGGATTGTAATCTTAGGGTTGTGTAAACAATTTTGAATATTTGGCGTCGGAGATCTTGATATCTCATGGCAGTAGCGATAAACTCTGGGCTTACACTTGGGTCATTTGTAGTTTACCTTCAAATAAGTGTAGCAATAAATGTATAGCATTAGATTTGAACGACGGATGATGCTAGTCCACGCTTAACGTTTGAACAAAGATTATGACTTTAAAAAATATTTTTTTTGTTCAAAAGTTCCAAAAACGTGTCCTTGACACCGTGTCCTTGACGTCGTGTCCTTGATGTCGTGTCCTTGACGCCGTGTCCTTTACGCCGTGTCCTTGACGCTGTGTCCTTGACGCCGTGTCCTTGACGCCGTGTCCTTGACGCCGTGTCCTTGACGCCGTGTCCTTGATGCCGTGTCCTTGACGCCGTGTCCTTGACGCCGTGTCCTTGACGCCGTGTCCTTGACGCCGTGTCCCTGACGCCGTGTTCTTGACGCCGTGTCCTTGACGCTGTGTCCTTGAAGCCGTGTCCAAGACGCCGAGTCCTAGACGCCCCGTTCTTATGGATTTTTTTAAGAACTAGAAATATTAAAGCTAACAGAAAATTAAAAAAAAAATGGTTTTGAATTTCGTCAGCAAATAAAAGAAAGTTTTTTGTTTTTTTTAAACAACAACAAAACAAAAACAAAACACTATTTGATGAGCCACATCAAATTCTAAAAGGGCCAATATTGTTTTAGAGTTAAGATTATAATTGGGGAATTTTTATATTTGTACACATGGCTGCACTGTTATTAATCTCAGTCGGTTCACGGAAGTATTCAAACCATCTTTCCCCCCCCCCCGGTCGCTTTGATAGTTCAGTTGTAAGGGATAAGTTGCTG